TTTTCTATAAATGCCATGGTCTTTCTGGCCTCTAGAGTTTGGGTGTGCTGTCCCTTTGGCCCGAAATAGCCTCCCACTGGGGGCCAAACTACCCCATTCTCTGATTAATTTCTACTCACCTGTTGAGATTCCAGCCAGTGGCTGCCTTCCCTGATAACACCCTTAGGTTCCTTGCCTCTCCTCTGGGTCACATGACAGCTTTCACATATAAACCTCATCATACTGCATAAATTGAATTTACCTGCCTTTATCTCTCCCACCACCCCATGAATGTTGACCCACGTCTTATTCACCATTATTTCCCCAGCATGCAGCTCAGTGCTTAGAGGTTTTGAAGAGCAAATGCTTGCTGTGTTAGTGGTGCCGGGTGAGGGGATTGTGACTTCTCTTCACTGATGGCTCTGGAGAAGCACAGAAAGAAATGGGGCTCTGGCATTTCCAAGTGGGCAGGCCATGTGGAATGAACCATACGAGCCATCTGGGCACATCTGACTGTGTCCAAAAAATGCCATCTGCTTTCAGGGCATGTCGAGACTAGGAAATCAGTATGGAACATGTGGCTTCTGTTCTGTTCTGTGTGGTGTCATATCCTCATTTGCCCTTTTGCCTTTTGTTTCCCTCACTTTTCCTTACATTAGGCGTAGGTTTGATTCTTGCCAGTTTGTTCACCAAAAGACGTTTCAGGGGATCCAAAACAAGGTGGCACTGAGCGGATATAGCCCTTTTTTTTTTTTTTGACAGAGTTTTGCTCCTATTGCTCAGGCTGGAGTACAATGGCGCAATCTTGGTTCACTGCAACCTCCACCTCCCGGGTTCAAGCGATTCTCCTGCCTCAGCCTCCTGACTAGCTGGGATTACAGGTGCCTGCCACCATGCCCAGCTAATTTTTTGCATTTTTAGTAGAGATGGGGTTTCACCATGTTGGCCAGGCTGGTCTAAACTCCTGACCTCAGGCAACCCCCCGCCTAGGCCTCCCAAAGTACTGGGATTACAGGTGTGAGCCACTGCTCCTGACTGGATATAGCTTTTTTTTTTTTTTTTTTTTTGGAAAATGCAGGTTTTGTCATTGGTGTTTGTGTGTGGATTTTTTTTTTTTTCTGGTACAGGGCATGGTGGGACGGAGCCAGAAGCATGGAGCAGAAGGCCGTGCATGTGTGTAAAAACAGTAGCATGTGTGGCTGCCACTCAGCTTTGTTGGGATTTTTCCAGAGGCAAATGGGAAGGTAGAGGGAACAGATTTGCTAGCTGCTTTTAATCCACTCCAGACTTCAGTTTCTTCTGAATGGAGATGGAGATGGGAATGTATATGTTTGCCGGGTGGTACTTTAAAGTCACAGCTGCTCCTCATTTAAAGGAATCCACAGCCTTTTACTGTGAATGATCATTCTGAAGGTAACTCAATTATCTGTGTTTGCTGGTTCACTATGGTACTCCTGGATATAATAGCCATCATCTCAGCTTACTGCAGCCACGCATGGCTTCCCACACCAGGGCTCCATCCAAGGAAGGGAGTGGAGAGATTCAGAAGTCTCTTCCAAATCGATACACAGAATATGAGAGATGGCAGGGGTGACACAGCCCCAAACTCTGCTGTCTCTTTTTGTGCCATTTCCAATTCCCCTAGGCTTGCAAACATTCAGATGATTCTCTTTATCTGAAAGGTGTTTATTTTATGCCAGTTGAGTGAGCTGTAAAATTCATCAGATACCACACTGTTTGTTAACACTTATAATTTCATATTTGCCAAGTCCACTCAGCCACCTCGCATATAATAGCCAAGGTAAATTCTTTTGGGTATTTTCATTTAGGAAAGGGCTACAGAGAGCTAAAATGAGAATGTATGGAGTAGGTACAGCATGCATCTGGCACCCTCATCTCGTTTCTTGTGACCCATACTCTGGTTGTTGCTTTCAGCCCACTCCGTGTATCTCTAACCTGTCCTGAGCTCTAACTTCCCATGTTCCCAGCTATGCCCGTTCAGATCTTGCAGGCAGTGTCCCCAGCAGTAGACACATGCTTTAAATAGAGGAGTTGTTCAATGAACTGGTGGGATGAAATTATGAGGATTAAGTAAGCAAGTTTAAGAACAAGAGTCAAATATACAGAAACTCTGAACAAAGCTATTACTGATCCTTATCCAAAACTGGGGCTGAAAAGTTACTTTGAGTCTCTTTTCACAATCAACCTTCCCCCTCCATAGTGACTCTTGGCCAGTGACTCATGCATCTCATGGTGCTCCCCTGCAACAGTGAGGTAGTAATAACCTTGAAGGTGGTCAGGAGGAGCGTGGGAGTGGATAGAGAGGGAAATATACGTGGTTCTTGGTAGATGCTCCAGATTCTGGAGTAGTGGTTAATATTGGGAACTTGCATCTCCCAATCCACTTACCTTACCTAAACTAGTAGCGTAGATTTCCCTGTAGTAGTCCTTTAGCCTACTGTGCTGTTCTTCACTTCTAACAGATAGTAAACACCAAAAGTAGATCTTTTCTAACTTTTATTTTTCACAACTTTTCTCTGCGGGGAGGGATTTCATGGCTGAACTAACGTTTTGTTTTCTTTTAAGGGGCCCAGTTTCTGTTTTCTCCTGAGAGTCGTATACACATTTTGAACAGAATCGTTTTTCTTGATGGTTTCCTCACCAAACACCATTGACTGAAACGTGTAGTCAAATGTGTTATTTGGCATCTCCTACTAGATCAACAACAACGAGAAAATACATTTTGCATTGAATTTTTCCTCGTTAAACAAGAGGGTTTAGGTCATTTCTAGTGACATGGAATATAAGAGAAGGTTTTGGAGTCTGAACAGGTTTGGCAGGATTGCTGAAGCTTGAGCCCACTGTGGTTTTGTTTAAAGACATTTTACAAGGAGCTACTCTAGAGCCCACCATACTGGTGAACTCCAGGCACTTCCTCAAGGCCTAAACCTGGTATGAACATCTTAATTCATCATGATACTGCTGTTTTCTGATCAGGCAAATTCATTAAAACATAAACTATCATGCAGTCTTCTTGTTGAACATGACTGGAGCTCTGCACAGATAAGGCCTCAGTGAATTATTTCTCTTCTGGAGTCAACAGGGAATGAGCAATCCTAGCAAATACACTTTCACAATCTCCCGGTAGTACTTGCTTTCACCTCACTCTCAGGAATTATTGTTAATGGGTCAATTGTGTGTTCTTGTTTTTACATGGATTTTCATCAAATGCTCATAGATCTACTACGTATCTTCTACAGTACCCTGTCCTAATTTGCCTCTTCAGGGAAAAATGCACAGAGATGGAATTGTTGAAGAATTTATAAGTGGAACCTCTTTGTTGATTTTACTCAAGAAAAGAAAATAAATTTTGACCCAAAAGACAGGTGCAATCAACTAATTCTCACAGCCTGGAGAGCTAGGTTGAGGATTCTGAGGGTCAAAATTGGCTAAGCAGGAAGGGTGCTCTGATAAGTTAGCAATGACTATCACTTGGAATGTTATTGATTATCACTTAGAAAGTTAGCATTTTGTGTCACTTGGAAAGGAAGAATAATGGCACACATGCTGAGTATTGGCTCTACCTCCTAGACATACAAAGTTGACCAGTTGCAGTCAAGTATAGAGCTTTGACCTTGGAAATATTCTTTCCCCACTCTTGAAATGGTAGAGCTACCAACATGGAGGTGTGGCTCTGCTTCTTTGGCTTCAAACGCTCAGAGAGAAACCACATTTTGCAGTCTAGTTCCATGAGCTTGGATGAGCTGAATTCTAGAGTCTCATTTCTTTGTGCAGTGGAGCCCAAAACCAAGTTTTCCAACTTTTAAAACATACATTTCAGCTTAAAATGGCCAGGCGCAGTGGCTCATGCCTGCAATCCCAGCACTTTGGGAAGCTGAGGCAGGCAGATCACCTGAGGTCGGGAGTTTGAGACCAGCCAGACCAACATGGAGAAACCCCATCTCTACTAAAAATAAAAATAAGCCGGGTGTGGTGGCACATGCCTGTAATCCCAGCTACTCAGGAGGCTGAGACAGGAGAATCACTTGAACCTGGGAGGTGGAGGTTGCGGTGAGCCGAGATTGTGCCATTGCACTCCACCCTGGGTAACAAGAGTGAAACTCTGTCTCAAAAGAAAAAAAGGCTTTCTCTTGCTCTGATAACTCTTATATTCATGCCCTGATTTAAAGTCAATCAGCAGAGACTATTTTCAATTGCCTTATGTTCTTCTTTCTTCATCCTTGTGTCCTGGCCAAGGTACTATTCCCCTCCCCAGCCACTGACCACCACCAGGCATCACCACCAGTCTAATCTCCCACAGGGATACGCTATTAGTCACACACATCTCAACATGAGTTTCACTATTTTTCTTTCTCTTTGAGAATTAACTTAAAATTTCTCTAAGGACTGAAAGATTTTCCCCAATTATAGTAAGGTAGGCCTCAGTAGTGAGTGGAGACATAATTTCATACAGGAAGACCTTCATAGTACGCTGCAAATCACACCACATATATAACAGCCCAATCTGCCTACTATGTGAGGCATGCCCTGCTTCTATTTCCTGTACTGGAGGAAATTCCTTCCTTGAAGTTTCCACTGTGTCAAAGACACAGTCTATAAGCACATGCACAGGAATGTTTCCTGTCACTCACGCAATCTCTCCCCTGTTCTCCAGTCCCCTCCTTCTGGCACAAATAGAATCCCCATGACTTTGCCAAGACTGGCTGTCATTACTGTATGATATGTTTTGTCTGTGTCCCGACCCAAATTCTCATCTTAAATTATAATCTGAATTGTAATCCCCATATGTGGTGAGAGAGATCTCATGGGAGGTGATTAGATCATGGGGGTGGTTCCCCCATGCTGCTCTCGGGAGAGTGAGCGAGTTCTTACGAGGTGGTTTTATAGGGGGCTTCTCTCCAGTTCCCTCCGTACTTCTCTCTCCTGCCATCATGTGAAGAAGGATGTGTTTACTTCCCCTTCCTGACTGTAAGTTTCCTGAGGCCTCCTCAGCCATGCAGAACTGTGAGTCAATTAAACCTTTTTCCTTTGTAAATTACCCAGTCTCAGGCAGTTTTTATAGCAGCTTGAGAATGGGCTAATAGACTATGGTTGACCTTTTTTTCATTTTATACCATAAATGAGCATCTGCTTTGTCACTGGGTCAGAACCCAATTACTTTTAAAGTGTGATAAAGGAACTTAGTGTAGGAATAAAAGCTCACGTTCCCTTTTGTAAAATGAAAATCCTTTTGCAATAGAGATAATTCATTTATTTATTCAGGAAGCATTTGTTTGTTTCTTTTTTAAAAATCCTGTAGATTCATTAAGAAGACAATAGATGGCATTTCAGTGGGGATCCAATCTATGGCTGTAGTATTGGGTGTGGCATGAGGGGGCAGGAATAGTCAAGTCTACAATCTGTGAATCTGTGAAGTCTTTGAATGGTTGCTCAGATATTTAAAAGTTCAGGTGTTTGAATCAAATTATAAGGCAACAAGACCCAGAACAGAAACAACAAGTGCCCATTTACAATCTTTGCTTGCTACCTTTTCACCTTGGTTCCATCTACAGCTTTCCTCTTCTAACAAGACTCTAAAATGCATGCTGCTAGCATGGAGTGAGCACCCGCCTGTTTCCCCGTTACTCTGTGCTGATGGCAGACTTCCTAATAGAGGACAACATCTTCTATCATGGCATCTCTATCTAAGACCACCTCTACATCCTCCCCTCCACCACCTTGTTGACATCTATCTGGATGGCAGTTTTTCAAACTTTGTCTGAAGTCCATAAAAAGGCGTCAGGAGTTAGACAAAGTCTGAGGGTTAATGAACCTCTTTTTACTACATGCGTACTTTGCAATCCCTGGGAAAAAGGAACGGGCTTTGACAGCCTCTTACCTTAGCGGCAGATTAGAGTGGGGGTGGACAGGAAGAAAGACAATAACTTTGGAAGGCTGAATGGAGCACATCTCAGAAAACCAAGTCTTTCTTTAATGGTGCCAAGAATGCTACCTGCCAGAAATCCACACTAATCTCAGAAGATAATAACAGCTGGAGGAGTTTCACTCACGCAAAATGAACCTGCAAATGCAGATATTATGTGGAAACTAAAAAGCCAACTACAGAATTTGGCCTCTAACACAAAGCTTTGCCATGGTCATTGGGTTCCTAAAATTCTGGCAGTAAGGAACTAGATCTAATGAAGAAAATGGGATGTGGAGTGCGGAGGGGACATGAGCTGTGCGGAGGGGCACCTATACATGTTTTGTCTCCAAAGTAAAACATTGAAGAACATACTAAACAATGAGCATACCAATGATATCTTAAAATGGCAATAGCAGGTACTTTCCCTGATTGGGTTTCATTTACTTATTTATTCATTGCTTGCTAGCAACTTCTTGAACTCTTTCTTCCCAGATGTTTTGATAACATGCTTCTAAGTTTATATATATATATATATATATATATATATATATATATATATATATATTTTGCAGATGGCAGGCATGTAATGAGGCACTTACTTATTTTACATTTAAGTAATCAATGATTTTCTGCCTTTGACTCCAGGTTACTGAAGCCTGGGGCTCCTAATAGTTCTGAAGAGTTTGAGATTAGATGCTTGAGATGGAGAAAGTCATGAGTAAAGTTATCAAAAGTCTAGTTAGGTGTTTCACAAAACCCTGGACTCCTCAATAGCAATCCCTGCCCCAATCTGTCCTGTACACACCTGAGCTTTTCTCTCAGACCCTGCAGTAGATTTATGCGTTGTTTGCTCCGCGTCCCTTGCTTCACTCATAAACTGAGAGAATTTGTGCTGAGAAAAAGGTACTCAGGATGCTTCAGGTGCAGAGAGAGAGGCTAGTTAGAAGGACCAAGACCAAGAACAGGATGGAGAGACCCCATCAGGGAAGACTTCCCAGAGGAGGGGACAACCACTAAATATTGAAGTATGATTAAAAGTGATGCAAGAGCTTCTCAAAATAAAGTTCTCAAAAGTGTGTGTGTGTGCGTGTGTGTGTGTGTGTGTGTGTGTGTGTGTGTGTGTGTGTGTGTTTGGAGAGGTGGGGGGAGAGGGAGAGGGAGGGAAACAGGGAGGGAGGAAGAGAGAGAGTTTGATTTAACCTTTTAATGAAGGAACCAGCAGGATAACAAAATCAGTACAAAAGAGAACATAAGAACAGAGATTTTATAGTCTGTGAAATAAAAAGGAATGCTGAGAAGAGATAGCTAAGTGAGATTCAAAGCTGGTTAAGCTGGTTTATCCTGCAGGGCAATAAAACTGTAACTTTTAAGATTCTTTACTACTAGCCTTTCCCCTTGTCAGTTTTCTATAAGTTCACCTCTAACCTTTAAACAGTACAAAATATCTGGGTGCTAATCAATAGTAAATAGTGAATCAAACACAGTCAAGCCCCCCTAGAACAGAGGTCAGCAAACTAGTTCTGTTAAGGCCCATGTAGTAAACGTTTTAAACTCTGTGTACCAGAAGGCCTCTGTCATAACTACTCAATCAGACCATTGTCTCACAAAGCAGCATAGGCAGTATTTAAATGAACAGGTGTGGCCGTGTTTCAATAAAACTTTACTTATAAAAAACAGTGATTGGCTGCATTTGTCCAGCAGGCTCTAGAGGCCCGACTTCTGTTGGTGGAGCAAAGGTATATAGCCTTAAATGGTAATATAATCATCTTTCAAAACTTATATTCAGGTTTTGGTTTTTTTTTTTTTTTCTTAATAGGCTTAAAGCAAATGAAACAGCAACTGCAAGGGCATTGGTGCATAAACTCACACCTTTTATTTGTGGAGCTATAAACAAGTAAAACTTCCTAGAATGCTGATAAGCGTATTTAGTGATACCGAGAGGGACAAAACTGAAAAGGTAGAAAGGAAATTTACCATCATTTTTTTCCTGTAGAGAATAAATGTGCCTGAGTAATACACCTTGGCAAGAAAATTAGACGGATCTCGTTCTAATCCCAATGAGTAGGCCGAGAAGATTGAGCTAATCTTCCTAAACCTTGGTTTTTCTGCTTCAAAACTAAAGATAATAGCTGAATCTTCCAGAGGGTTGCTGTGACATTTAAAAGAGATGATGTATTTCTCAGTACTCCGTAAGTGATAACTCTTAATTATAAAATTATCATTATTATTCTTTATCAATCAAAGCCAAAGGGAGGTCCGAGGGCTGCAGATGAATCCACAAATATTTGTTGGAAAAGCACAGGTGTTAAGACCAAAACGGCAGGATGGAAAGCCCTATTGCTCAGTTTCTTCCTATTACAGTACAGGCTTTGGTCCTTGGGGCTTTGTCCTAAGACAACTCAATCTTTCCCTCCAATACCCAGCTGGGCTCAAACCAGGGTTTTCCTAGAATTTCTATTAAGAATCTCTCACCCCCTCTGTAGCAGCAATTTATTAACAAGGATTCTGGAACAATTACTGTGTAAACTAGGACACAGTAAATGTAAGTTAGAGTAGAGCTAGCAACCACATTTGCATTTCAACAGTGGATGTGCTAATTAACAATGATTCTTGCCTATTCATTAAACCCTCTAAGACTCTAAGAAATACAGCAATCTCTTCACTTATGCCCCTGTCAGCATGTCCTGTGCTTCCTCAGAGCCACTCTTTAAAATGATATCTATTACTGGGATTTTTCTTTTTTCTAATTGTTGGGACCAGTTATCTTCTTCAGAGCAGGGAAGTTCATCTCCCTCTACCTAACCTCCTGGCATCTCCAGGCAGGCTACATCTTTTCAGAAATTCAGTCTCTGCCTTACTCACATTGCCAGTAATAGAATTGCTCCTCCATATCCATAGATTCCTCATCTGTGGATTTAACCAAACTTGCATGGAAAATATTTGGAAAAAAATTATATCTGTACTGAACCTATGCAAACTATTTTTCTTGTCATTATTCCCTAAACAATACAGGATAACAGCTATTTACATGACATTTATATTGTATCAGGTATTATAAGTTATTACAACTAATCTAGAGATGACTTAAAGCCTATGGGAGGATGTGCATAGCTTATATGCACATACTTTGCTATTTTTATCAGGAACTTGATCAACTGTGAATTTTGGTATCCAAGTGTGTTAGGTTCTCTAGAGGGACAGAACTAATGGAAAATATATATATATATATATGAGTTTATTAAGTATTAACTCACATGGTCACAAGGTGCCACAGTAGAGCTGTCTGCAGGCTAAGGAGCAAGGAGAGCCAGTCCGAGTTCCAAAACTGAAGAACTTGGAGTCTGATGTTCTAGGGCAGGAAGCAGCCAGCACGGGAGAAAGATGTAGGCTGGGAGACTAAGCCAGTCTTGCCCTTGCACATTTTTCTGCCTGTTGTATATTCACTGGCAGCTGATTAGATTGTACCCACCAGATTAAGAGGTGAGTCTGCCTCCCTCAGCCTACTGACTCAAATGTTAACTCCTTTGGCAACACCTTCACAGACACACCCAGGATCAATACTGTGCATCCTTCAATCCAATTAAGTTGACACCCAGTATTAACCATCACACCAAGGAGGTCCTAGAACCAATTCCCATGGATAGCAAGGGCTGATTGTATGTACTCCTGATAGCAGCTCTAATGTTTACTCAGATGGTGCAATAAAATATTAATAATTAATGATAATATCTATTCTGGGCCATTTATGTATTTTTCACTTCTAAATAGTAATACTCAAAGATTAATGATACAAATCCTATGTGTTGTCTGTCTTTTCCTGGGTTCTACGAAACAGGCTGCTTTGTGATTATAGGCAGAGGGAGAGCCCCAACATGCTGAGATCACATCAGACTGTAGAGGTGCTGAACTACAAGAGTGGGTCTAAGGCAGATCTAGGGCTGATCCTGCTGGAAAAACTCAATATTCACCCATCACACATTAAGCACTCAAGAATCTGCTGGCTTGTTCTGCAGTGGCTCCTTCCATCTGGAGAATAACTAGGCACATAACCCTGGTTTTCAGAAGGAAAGGGATGAAGAAGGTAAGGCCAGACAGGGCATGAAAGACCGTTCTGAAAATGGCAAATGGAGCTTCTCGCATCTGATAACATCCTGCTGCCATAGGATATCAGCCAGGGTTGCATGGATTACGGTGGATCTTTGGGCCACCCAAAGACACTGTACCTCCATCTGGGACTGGACCTCTGTTTGTTTATCAAGCTTTCTAAGACTCCACATATATTATGGTTAAAGACGTCTCATGCCGTTTAATTGTGAAGAAATTCTGCATTCATTGTCAGTTGGTGGTGCCTCTCCATTCACTGTCTTCCCCTCAGACAACCGTGTGCGCTTTATTTCTGTGTCACTCCGTTCATGATTCCACCCACACTGACAAATTTCCTAGAGCTCTGAGTGCCACTGTTGGTGGAAGAGGATCTCTGACTTTTTCAAAATCCTCCCCAGCTTCCCTCCTTAGGCATCTCCTAAGACATGGCAGGAGGCCATTTCCAGATAGTGCCTGCCCTAGCCTGCATTGTAGCTACAGGCATATCTGGACTTTAATGGGGAGGAGTGAATCTGGAGTGAGCCTGGCTGAATTAGGCTTGGTCCGTGGTTAGTGGAAATCAAGCATGAAAAGAGTAACTCCTTTTAACTACCTTTTGTGTAAGAGAGACTCCAAAACAGACTTTGCTTTCTCACTGCTTCCCTGCCATGTTTCCCTCACTGTCTTCATAACTGCCAAGTCAACATTTAACTTTATAAGTCAGCACTTCTGGAGAGTAGTGT